TTTAAAAAAATTTTTAGTTCAGTGGCACTAAGTACATCGACAAGATTGTGTAATCATCTTTTCTGTTTCATCATATTAGACAAAAGCTGTACAACCTGTTAAGCAATACCATGCCAGTCCCACCTCAGTCTCTGGCAAGTACCATGTTATCATTCTGCATACTCTATGAGTTTGGCCAATATAGGTTCTTCACGTAAATAGAACGATTTGGGGGAGGAGGATGGATTGTAGGGACTGAACCCAAGGAATACTTTTATTTTGAGACAGGATCTTGCTAAATCTGGCTTCTAACTTGGAATCCACCTGCCTCAGCCTCATGAGTAGCTGAGATTACAGACATGTGCCATCATGCTAAAGGATCTTCATTCCTTTTCATGGCTGAATAATAATAATAATATCATAGTTTGTTTATTCATCTCTTGATGCATACTTGGATCTTTCCAATTTTTGACTGTTGTAAATAATCCCTCTGTGAGGACTGGAGTACAAGGTCTGGTTTCCAATTCTGAGCAGATATACCTGTGAGAACAGTTACTAAATCACGTGATAATTCTGTGTTTACATTTTTGAAATGTCATCGAGCTATTCTCTGAAACAACTACATTCCCAGCAGCGGAGGACTGTAGTTCTACTTTCTTGACAGCCTCATCAATGCTTGCAATTTTCCTTCTTTTGATTTTTTGAGACAGGTCTCACTTTGTGGTGCTGACTGGTCTTGAACTCACTCTGTAGTCCAGGCTGTTCTCAAACTTACAGCAATTATCCTGCCTCAGCCCCCTGACTGTTGGGATTACAGGCATACACACCATGCCCAGCTTTCCTGCAAAATTTTCCATTCTTAAACCTATAGCCATCCTAGTAACTATGAAGTCATATCTTACTGTGGTTTGAATTTTCCTAATGAATGTTGAAAAGCATGTTTTTACTTGCTGAGTGGCCTTCTATTTGTGTAATATCTAATTGTGTCCTTTGCCTATTTTTTCATTCCAGTTTCTTTTTTCCTTTTTGTTTTGGTACTTGGAATTGAACTCGGACCTCTGAGCCGTATCCCCAGCCTTCTAGCTTCATTTTTAAATTGTGATTTCTTAAGATAGGTTCTGTAGACCCCTGATGGAAAAAGGTCCAGATCTCTTGTTTGAGTTCCATTGGGAGCTCAGGCTTCTGAGCTTTGTAACACTGTCTCCTGCTTTTATCTCTGTAACCAAGGACTGTTCGGTCACTTTTTATTTACTCTGCGTGTGTGTGTGTGTGTGTGTGTGTGTGTGTGTGTGTGTGTGTAATGGTGCCAGAACTGTACCATACTAGGCAGTTGCTGAAACACTGGACTGTGTGTCCCCAGTCCAGTGGTAGTGTTTTATAGTCTCTATAATCTCTGGATTGCTCCACCGTTTCCTGTTTAGCCCTTAGATCCTCTATCAGTTATGTGTCAGTTTGCGTTAAACTCTTTCTGTTGTAAACCTGCTATGGTAGTGCGAGTCCATGACCCCAGCACTCCCCAGGCTAGACTTGGGAGGATCGCTGTGAGTTCAAGGCCAGCCTGGGCTACATAGTGAAAGCTTGTTTCCAAAAGAACAAAAATCCCAGGAGTTCTTGGCGGTTGTAAATATTTTTACATTGTGTCTGTTATCCTGAATAGACTTGGACACAGAATCTAAACTGCCTTTTTTTTTTATAGTAAAAAAAAAAAAAATTGTCCCTTTTTTCCTCCCTTCTCCACTCCACTTTTTGTTTTTGTGATCCTGGGACTAGAACTCAAGATCTTGCAAATGTTAGCTAAGTGCTGTGCCTCTGCATTACCTCTCCAGTCTCATTTTACCTTTTGTCTTCTGAGACGGAGTGTTGCTACACTGCCCAGGCTGGCCTGGCATATTTCATCCCCCTGCCCCCACCTCAGCCTCGCGGATAGCTAGGATTACAGGTAATAGCTGGGATTGCATGAATCATCACTGCGCCCAGCTAGACGCTTTTTCTTCCAGTCCATTTTCCAATTAGTTGAACATGTTCGCAGGAAAACTTTGCTAGCGTTTCTGAAATTTATACACTTAAGGAAGTATTCCAAATTCATGTAGTTAATTAGATGCCCAGCTAGTGTTGGAATTGTAATGCCTTAACTCCTAGTTTACTTCTTATTCTAACAAGTTGAAATTTTCCAGGTAAGGAACTGGATAAAAGGGTCAAAAAGGAGCTTTTATTCTTTATTTGGCTTCCCCTCCCCTTTGGCTTTTTAAATTGTGTAAGTCTGTTGTTTCCTCTTTAAATTTTTAGCTAAAATAAAATTTCTGACTTTTTGGAATTGTGATATATAAATTTGTGTCTTTACAAAGCAACTTTAATTTTTTTTAATGTGAATGTCATTGTTAGTTATGACTAAGCAGTATTGGAAAACTTCACCTAGCATGCAACTATACAAGAATTTATATATATTCTCATATAATATAGTTCTATATGAAGAAATCTGTATAAATGCCATTAATTCTGTTTCTTAAAATAATAGTCTTCAAAATTCATTGGTCACATTCTATAGGTCAAAGTTTTTTACCATCTATTCTCATTTAGTATGTGTATATATTTCTATGTAGGCCTTCCTTATATATTTATAATAAGTAGTTTACTATGTACATAGATCACAACTAATGTGCACTTCATGAAACATTAACCAACATAAAATCGAGGAACAAATGAAGAGATGTTGTAATGCTTTTCCTCCTCCCTAGATTATTTTGTGCATTCCAAGTGCACTATGCTTTTTGGAGTGTGTTCCAGAGTGTGTATGTTAAAGCTGCTAAAGGAGCTTGGTGTGGTGGTACACGCCTGTAATACCAACACTCTGGGAGACTAAGGCACAAAGATCACAATTTCAATCCTAGCCTGGTCAAACCCTGCCTCAAAATGTAAAAAATTAAAAGGGGCTAGGGATCAAACTCAATGCAAAGGTTCTGAGTTCAGTTCCCCTGTTCTGCCCCCCTCCAAAAAAACCCGTCAAAGGAATTCAGACACACATTCTGCTGAATTGCTACATGTTCACCAAACTTTGTGAAAATAGTCCAGATGCTCTCTGACTTCCACTCCTTAACCTGTTTTAAGTTCCTTGATTCAAACACAGTACAATAAAGCTAACATATTAGCCTCAATTCTAAGTTCCTCAGAATCATAATCATAGACTGATGCAACAGCCTCCAAAGTTGGGAACTGTGTATTAATATACACTGGATTCTTCATTTGTCACTAAGGATCAAGTAATTATGGAAAAATATATGAGAGAGGGTATGCATATGTGTTTGAAATGAACCTAAAATATAATGTCTGTCTCAAAATTGACTCTAGCTTCCATCTCATTTTTTAAAAAGAAGACTGGAAAAAAAATAGATGTGATACAACAATAAAAAAAAACAGCCCTTTGTCTACATTCTTTTTAAGGTTAGTCTCTTTTTTGGATACAATGTAATGACTGTCTCTTATCTGGGTTCAGACAGTTCAAGCTAGCACTAGAGTAACCCATGGGAAAACTGAAAGGTTTCACATGGGGTTTTTCTCCGAGATACCTGAGCCACCGTTCAGTCCTGCATAAAAACCTGCAAAGTGCTAGACAGTGCAGATGCTGCAAAGGTGAATGACACTGTGAACTTTAAGGTCAAGGACAATTTAGAATTAATAATGTGATCATGAGAAAGGTTCATACTCATGTCCAGTCAATATTGGACATGACTGATGGCCAGGGAAAGTAAGAGGTGTTGCACATTTTATCTATTATATCTCTCAAGGATGAACTGTCATGCAGGGAGAAAGGAAGATGAGGAAGCAGAAAGTAAAACTAAAGATGTCAAGGAAAGAGAAAACTAACATTGCCTAATTAGGCGCTTTGGTATCTATGATCTCATAGTCCAAAAGCCTCAAGCAAGAGCCTTTATCTCCACTTTACAGGTGAAGAAACTGACCGAGAAAAGTTAAGTAACTTGAACAAGTCACACATATAATTATTAGCAGGAAAATTTAATTGAGGCATATTAGCTAAGCAGTTGCTCCATGATGACTGTGCAATTTAAGTGATAACAAAAATCTTGATGTGTTACTATTTATAAGGCTACAGCAGACTCCTATACATCAAAAAGATCTGTTCTTAGGAACCATAGTAGAGTATATACATTAGGAAAATAAGATATGTAAGCTTTCTTGGGTGCAAATGGGATGCTGGTTGCTAAACTCTTCTAAAGAGGATGTTTTTCTAAATGGTTGTTGCCTGTTTTCCTATGAAAGCCAGCTAGCACCTCTTCAAAACATAATACATCATTGAAGCCAGGCATTGCAATGCATGCCTATAATCCCAGCACTTAGGAGGCTGAGACAGGAGGATGCTGTTTAAGGTCAGCCTGGACTACACAATGAGACTTTTATCTCAAAAAACTACACAAAAGGAAAAAAGTTAGATAATTGAAGACTGTTTTGTGTTTGTGTGTATGATGCTGGGGATCAAATGGGTGGCCTTATACGTCCTGGACAGACAGTCTACCGCTGAGCTACACTTCCAACCTTGGATTGGTAAAGGAATCCAAACTAATAGGGTACTCAACCCCAGTTACCCTGAAGAATTACGTAAAGGTGAATCCTAAATCTAACTCCAATATATAACAGTCTCATGAACCCCCATATGACCATGCTTAAACCTGATAATTATCAAGACTTTGTACACCTGCTTCATCTAACCTCACTTAACATCTTTTGTTTGTATCAAGTATTCTAAAGAAAAACCCAAAATGCATATCACCAAAATGTAGATAGATAGGGAAGCATTATAAATAGTAACTCCCAAGGGTGTACTGCTGGTGACCTGTTAATGGGAATATTTTATTGTAACCTTGTGTTGTGTTTTCTTCAGCTTTCTGCCATAAGCACATGTTTTTCAGGTAGCTTAAATTCTCTAGGAAACAAGACGGGTTAAAAATGAGTGAACAGATAGGTCGCCCCCTGTTAAAGAAATCTACCACTATATTTGTTATCCCCAGGAAATTACTACAATCAAGGAGAGATTCGTAAGAAAGAACTTTTGCAGAGCTGTGATGTTTTGGGGATTCCACCCTCCTGTGTAATGATTATTGACAACAGGTAATTTGTCTTTTAACAACACAGAAATTCATTGCTTATCATTTACTGATGCACGAAAAAGACATCAAAAGCTAATAGATAAAGATAGGAGCATCTTAGTTGAGAAATCTACCCAAAATGCTTTATTTTAAGTGAAAGAATAACTTTCTTCAACTTGTTTAAACTTTTTTTATGCTGAAATGGTTTCTCCTCCTATAGCTACAGCTTTTAATTTCTATTACAAATTTCAGAACTATACAAAAATACAATGAACAGTATCATGAACTCCCATATGTCCATACTTACACCCAATAATTATCAAGACTTTGTACACTTGATTCATCTAACCACACTTCCCATCTTTTGTGTGCATCAAATATTTTAAAGAAAAACCCTAAATAAATAAATAAAAGGAAGACTCAGGTGGGGTGTAATGGTGCACACCTAAAATCCCATCATTCTGGGAAACAGGCCAGAGTTTTTCAAGTCTAAGCCCAGCTAAGGCAATTGAGCAGGACCCTGACTCAATAAATAAGAGGGGCGCAGTGCAAAAGCCCTGAGTTTTAATACCCAGGACCATCAAAATAATAATGTTAATAATAATAACTAAAAATAAGAAAAACCCAGCTGGGCATAGCGACACATGCATATAATTCCAGAACTCAGTAGGCCAAGGCAGGAAGATCACAAGCTTGAGGCCAGCCTGGACTGGATGGTTTAAAGTTAGCCAGGACGAGATACTGAGACCTTGTGTCAAACACGAGTGCATGCGTGCACACACACACCCCCACTATCAGGCTGTGTATCTCTTAAGAACATGAACATTATTTTTTATAAGTGTAATACCATTGTTATTACCTCTAACAGTTAATACTAACAGTTATTCTTCAGTGTTTTCACTCAATTCATTGAAATGTCTCCAAGTAGCACAATAATATCTTTTTTGAGTGGCTTGTTCAAATCAAAATCCAAACAAGATCCATTCATGATAGTTGATTGATAGCCTGTATTTAATTCCCCTTTCCTCCATGTTAATGATTCAGTTTTCATACAAAATGTCCCACATTCGGGGTTGGTCTGTCTGTTTCTCCTTGTGTTGTCTAAGCTTGCTTTTCTTTTCTTTTTTTTTTTCCTGTGGTCTAGCTCTGTAGACCAGGCTGGCCTCAAACTTGTTCTCAGAATTGTAGCCTAAATCATTAATTAACTGAAGTTGCAAAGTAATGAGTTTATAATTGTCATATCCATTGTGTGTATGCTAGCTGTATTTCTTTTGCAAAGAAAACTCTCCCTGTTAACTGGGACTATTTATCCTGCTGTACAATTTGAACCAAAAAAAGACAGAATAACCAGGCATGATGGCTCATGCCTGCAATTCCAGCACTTGGGAGGCTGAGACAAGAACATTGCCCCAAGTCCAAAACCAGCCTGTGCTACATAGTACAAGGCCACCCTGAACTACAAAGGAAGACTCTGCCTCAAAACACAAACAACAAGATAAGATAGAGGTTCAACTCTTTTCTTTTAATTGATACTTTCAGAAAACAGTTTGATGTCCTACATACCTAGAGATCCACTGTTTATTTCTTCGATAGTGGGGGCACTTTTTAATTTCATTAGAAACTAAGTTATTTTTATTTATTTCATGTTACAGTTTTGATCATTATATTCTTTGATACTCAGATTATCTCATCTTTGGCTAGTGAGTCTCTTCATGCTGGCTCACATGTATTCCCATTTCTGTTTTGTTTTATTGTACTAGAGATCGAACCCACAGGCTTGTGCCTGCTAAGCAAGACTTTCAGTGCCTTCTCGTATCCCTCCTTACCTCAACTGCAGAATTAGCTATTTCTCCAAGAAGCTTTGGTTTGTCATAGTAAAAAATGATACTTAGCTGAGCTGGTGGTACCTATAATCCTGGCATTTGGGAAACTGAAGCAGGAGAATCACTACCAGTTCAAGACCAGGCTAGGCCAGCTTGAACTGCAGAGTGAAACCCTGTCTCAAAAAGACCAGAAAGAAAAAAAAAAAGATACTTAGAGTACATAACCAAGCATACTTAGAAGCATTTGTTGCTATAGTGTTATTGTTCTTATTGCTACTTGAACTTGATAGTGAATAGAGCTGCTAAGATGTATCTATTTTTTACTGGAAAAGAAAAATTTTAAAAATTATACTAATGATCATAATTCAAAGTTAATAGTTCAGGGTTCTTTCTTAACATCTTTGTACAGCTGAATCTCTGTCTTTGCTTCCAACAACACCACCAATTACTGTGTTCTTCAATCATTTTAAGGATTTCATGAATGAAAACAGACATACTGTTTTATTCAGAATCACAGATATCCAAAATCAAGACTAAATATAATATGACTGGTCATGATGTTTGCAATTTAAAGTAAGTCAAAAAACATGTATCATTGCCGGGCGTGGTGGCTCACACCTGTAATCCCAGCACTCGGGAGGCTGAGGTGGGAGGATTGTTGTGAATTCGAGACCAGCCTGGGCTACAAAGTGAGCTCAAGGCCAGCCTGGACTGCATAGCGAGACCCTGTCTCAAAAAAGACAAATATATATATATATATATATATATATATATATATATATATATATAATAATTAACTCACAGATGGTATGGTAGTGTATACCTGTAATCCCAGCACTTAGGAGGCTGAGTCAGGAGGATCCCCATGAGTTTAAGGACAGCCTGAGCTACATAGTGAGTTCAAGGTCAGCCTGAACTACATAGAAAGACCTTGTCTCAAAACAACAAAACACAAGAACCAAACAAAATAAATTTACCCTAACTGGCAAAATCTTATGAATCTGAACCTTGGTGGAAAGTATCCAAGTATTCATTATACAGTTATATATTTTGACTTTTCTATTTCAGGTTTGTGAGTTTGTTTTCAGTACTAAGGATCAAACCCTGGTTTTTTTTGGTTGGTTGTTTGTTTTGAGACAGCATCTCACTAAGTCTCAGTGTGGGTTTGAACTAGTGATCCTCCTGCCTCTGCCTCTGCCTCTGCCTCCCAGAATTCTGGGATTATAGACATGTACCATCATGCCCTGCTGTTTCAGAAGTTTGAGGGCATTTTGTTCTTGTTCTTGTTTTTAAACATACTTTGTTTTGGGATTAGGAATTAAATGCAGGGCCTTTACTCTGAGCCACATCCCCAGTCCTTTCCCCATTTTTGTACCTGGCTGAATTATTAAATGGCCTGAGTTGTCCAGGCTGGGCTCAGATTGGTAACCCTCCTTCCTTGGGCTTCCAGAGTATTGGGATTACGGATGCGCTTCAGATTATGCCCTGGTTCAGAATTTTTATAATAAGAAATTTTCAGAGCCAGGTGTGAGGGCCCGTCTCTGTAATCCCAGCATTTAGAAGACTAAAGCAGGAAGATTGGCATGAGTTCAAGGCCAGCCTGGGCTACATAGTGGGTTCAAGGCCAGCCTGAACTACAGAGATCCTGCCTTTAAAAAAAAAAAAAAAAAAAAAAATCAGCACCACACATACCACAGGCCTCTTTTTCCTATAATTTTCTGACATATCTATTTTACTGTATTTGTGATTTACCCACCCCTTCAATTAAAAAAAAAAAAAAAACAGATGAACAAGTGGATTTTGTGAGTTTCAAAAAGTTTTAGGTTTACAAATCATTCCTTACCAACAGTATAATTTGGGGGGGGGTTATTATAAATGAATTTACATTTGCTCATTTTTTTTAAGAAGTTTCATTTTCTATTATTGGGTAACATGTCAGAGGATGATAATACAGTTTAACCTGTGATGAAGAGATAAATTCCTTCTGGTATGCAAAGAAAAACAAACGTTCTGATCCATCTAGATGTACATTTAAAAAAAAGCCAAAATGTAATTCTGATGATGTTTTCAATTCTTTTCTCTTTTTTGTTTTTTGAGACAGAGTCTCATAATGTAGCTCAGGCTGGCCTTGAACTCATAGCAGTCCTCCTGCCTCAGCCTCCTGAGTACTGGGGTTACAGGCATGCACTACCTGGCCTCCTTTTTGAAATACAAGATTTGTCCTGCTCCCAGGTGTAGTGGCACATTCCTGTAATCCCAGCACTGGAGAGGTTTTGAGTTCATTTGTAGAAGAAATCAGTGGATGCTTTGCTTTAAATATATTGTACTCCCCCTTTATTTTGTGAGTATAGGTTGTAATTTTTTCTCCACATTACTAGTAATAATAGGATGAACTGGTTTTTGCCAGAGACCCATCTGCATGCAGGCTTTTCTGCCTGTGCTGGACCCAGCAACACAAGCTGATTTTTTTAGGGCCAGATCTGATCTGTGAGAACAGTCGTGCTCCAAAAATCTTGGTTATCAAGATCTTTACTCTCATCATCTGTCTAATTTAGTACTTTTTTTTGGTTAGTTTTTTTGTTTTTTGAGACAAAGTCTCATTATGTAGTACAGGCTGGCCTTGAACTCACTTAGGTAGTTCAGGCTGCCTTGAATCTCATGGCAATCCTCCTCCCTCGGCTCCCGAGTGCTGGGATTATGGGCCTGCACCACCACACCTGGCAAATTTATTACATTTTTATTCGTCCTGTAAAGATCATACAGTTTCAACCTCCATTCCCTAGTTGTGAAATGCAGCAATAATGAGGTAGGAAAGTTGTTAAAGATAAAAACTTTAAGAAGGCAGTTTGAAGATTTCAAGGTCTTTCTCCGCTTGAGCTGCTTTAACAAAATATTATAAACAGTGTAGTTTAAAGAACAAAAAGATTTTTCTCACTGATCTTCAAGCCATAAGTCCCAGAGCAAAGTCTGGCAGGGTGAGTTTTATTTATTTTTATCTTTTTCCTTTTTATCGGTACTGGGGATCGAACTCACGACTGCCTGCTTACAAGGCAGGTGCTTATGCCGCTGAGCTAAATCCCCAGCCTCCACAGGGTGAGTTTTAATGGGTACTTTCTTACTGGCTTGAAGATGGCCACCTTCTCACTGTCTTCATGTGTTAGAAAGATTATTTTCTCTCCTTGTTTTCTTATTATTCTCA